AGGTGACTGCGCTAAAAGAAGGGATGGGTGAACCTAGGCAGGAACTAAATATAGCTTCTCTGAAGGTGTGAAGTCCCCATGGTTTGAGTCCTCTTCCTGCCCCCAGGAAACGTGAGACAGCTGTTATATTCTCTCACAGAGTTCAGAAAGGCGAGTAAGAACTTGCTGGCAACAGGAGGAATCCCGTTAGAGCTTGAAGTATTGATAGAGACCCAGGAGCTTAGAGCTTTGGGGATCCTCAAAAGGGGCCAGGTTCACGGGCCTGGGTCCTAGTCGCTGTTCATGCGATCTCGAAGCAGACTAATAGGTTTCTCCGCGAGCTCTGTGCTCCCTTCTGCCTCTGTCTCTCAGGTTCACTGTGATCCATATGCAGGAGTCACAGCCAGAGCTGGGCAGAGTGGCACATGCCTGTAATCCAGTGACCCAGGAGGCTGAGACAGGAGGACCACGAGTTCCAGGCCAACCTGGGCAACTTAGGRAGACGGGAGACTCTGACTYGGGGAAAAAACCACAAAAACAAAAACTGGGATACAATTTGGTTTAAAGCACCCTTGGATCAATCCCCAGTACTGGGGGCGGAAAAAGAAAGAAAGAAAGAAAGACAAACTTCTTGGGCCAARGTTGTGTCTGCCTTGCATGCTCARGCCCTGGACTCCATCCCCAGCACTGCAARGGGAAGACCCTGGGCCTGTGGTACCTGTCGTGCTGTAGCTGGTTATAGCAACACATCCCCAGGGCCCATTTTTTAAAGTCCAAACCGATGTTTCCCGAATTTCTTTCACCTACTACATTCACACTGTGTTTCTAACCAGAGAACTCTGTGCCAAGATGTACTTAACACATTTTATTAGTCTAATTTTTCTTGAATACCTACATGAGCCTCATCCTAAGCAGTAAAATCTATGAAATCTGGGCTTTCAATACGCGACTTCCATAGTCTCCCGATTGACATCACATAAACCCATAACTACTTCAATTAGGAGCACTCGCGGTGTACATCAGAATCACCTTAAATTCCACACACTTCAGGGACTCCTTTTAGGGCAGAGCGCTTGCCTGGCATGAGCAGGGCCTGGGTTCCACTCCTGGCACTAAAGAACAGAACCAAGATGCGTTCCCATAACTCTCAGTGTCCCCTGGTCCCCAGAAGGATCTCACACATTTCACATGTGCATGCCTTGCTCAAGCGGCCTCCAAGGTCCTGGGGCTGAATGCCATGCAGACGCCCCTGCTGCTTTCTAGAATCCTCTGACCTACCCTGTGACTTCTTCCTTACGTGGATTTGCCCCCATGTTTGCTGTGTGTCCCTGGCATTGCCAACAAAAAAAGACCACGTGCGGCAAAGGGCCGGCTCTCATTTCTGTCTCATTTCCCTTCYAAAAGGTTTAGCTTCTTCTCCAGAGATAAGAAGCGCCTGGCCAACACGCAGAGGAGCATGCACATCCACGAGTCCTTCGGCCAGTGGGCCAACACCCAGCGGGACGACGGGTACACAGAGCAAGGACAGGAAGCCCTGCAGCACCTGTGACTGTCACCCCTCCACCCGAGGGCCACAGACGTCCGAAGGCCACACCAGCTACCGAACTGAAGGGAGCCCACTGAACCCCAGCCAGGGGCCGCTGGCCTACGCCCCAGTGCAGACGAGCCCTCAAAATGAACCCCTCAGACAAACTGTGTGCTTTGGGGGTGGACATTGAAAAACTGATGCCAAACCCTAAAGAAATGTCTATTTATATCCAGGGCTTTTGCCGTTTATAATAGATGACTTTGACCCCTTAGGATATATATTTAATATTCCCGTGGACTGAGACCAGACTTTGCGTTAACCTTAGTAACAAGCTTCTTTAAGCCAAATACATCACTTGCCATTGTAACTGCTGTTTGCTTTGCCTTATATGAAATTCTAGGTGTAGAGGATTTATCATCACTTTTGTGGGAGGCAKTAAGAGGCGGCTCGTGTTATCATGAGACCGTCGTGGTGATAAAAGATTGCAGAGAGCGTACTGACTGGACAGCCAGCCTGATGTCCCCGGGTGAGCTGCCCAGCTCAGACACAAAGCAACAGGACAATTTTGCAAGAGCCGGCAGTTGCTCCTCCTAAGTCCAGAGCACGGGGCCACATCCAAGGCCACGCACCTTGAGCCCGCTGTCCTAACTCAACAKTTGCTAAGGATGAGGTGCTAGAACATCTCGTGTGCGGGTTTGGGTTTTTTCCCTTCCTTTTAATGGCATCTTTTTTCTTCTSTGTTCACTGTGTTTAGCATCCTGCAAAGAAAGCAAATGTCTCCAGACTGGGAGCAGGGTGCRGTAGCCTAGGCGATGCAGGAAGACAGGTGGGGTAGCAGAGGAAGGCTGAGGGGGGGAAGGGGCAGGTGGCTTGGGACTGCGCAACTGGCTCACAGCTGCAGTGGCCAGCTGCCCTGGCTGCCCCTGAGCAGATGGGCTRGCTCACATGGCTTTTCTCCACCTGTGGAACACCTGGTGTGCAAGGCGAGGTGTGCAGGGATCCAGAAAGGCAGCACTTCCTAAGAGCATTCAAGGATATCTGACAGGTGGGGCCACATTCTGTGCATTCAGTAGAGTCTCTGTGAGGTGGATCTGCAGGATCTAAAGAGCCTCTGCTGTGGAAATGATTTGGATGGGATATGTAGTTGCTTTAGAGCAGTGGTTCTCAAACTGGCCTGCACCTTAGAACAGTTAGTGTTTATTCTCAAAGAGTGTAGGAGCATGGCCAGGTGCAGTACTGTAATCCCAGCAGCTCAGGAGGCTGAGGCAGGAGGATCACAACAAGTTGSAGGCCAGCCCCAGCAGCTTAGCAAGATCCTATCATCYCAAAATAGAACAAAAGAGGCTRGGGATGTGACTCAGGACCAAAAAAAAAAAAAAAARGAGGGCTTGGGGATGTGGCTCAATGATAAAATACCCCTGAGTTAAATTTTGGTTAACACACATTTTTTTTTCTTTGCATAACACATATACATACCTTGGGATGAATGTGTAACTCTARTGTTAAATTATTTATGTTGGATGAAACCTCTTGAATTTCAAGAACCTAAACTCTCAGAGACACAGCCATAAGTAAAAATGCTAAATGTCACTTTTTTCAAAATTATGTGAGCGGTATGGTATTTATTTAAGTCCACAGAAATTAAGGCCAGTAGATCTAGCTCTCAAACCCACCAGAGGCCAAATAATCAGAAAAGGGAGATTCAGCCCATTAGAACAAGCCACAGTGCCTTTGCTGATCCTGACCCCTGTGTTCTTCACTTCATTCTGTGTAGCTTGACCTTTCAGAGAGCCATGAGACCGCCACAGATCACAGCCCCACAATGCTGGGGTTTAATTTTAAATGCCAACCAGAAGAAAACATAGGGTCAGCAGTTTGTGCTAGAATTTACCTTTGAGAGTGCCCAGATGTTTGGACTGGTGTTAGTATTAAGTCCACGCATCCTCTATAGCTGGCACTCTCCCGTCCTTTTGAGCATCTTATGTGTGTTACTAGGGACTGGACCAGAGTTCACTYCCACTGAGCCACRTCTCCAGCCTGGTTTGTCTTTTGTTTGAGACAGGATCTTGCTAAATTTGCAGTCCTGTCACAGGCTCATTGGGAGTCATTGGGAGCCACCATGCCCAGCTCTATCCTACTTTTAATTCAATTCAACCAACACTTGGGCTATGGATAAAAAAAACAGAAAAGGACCAGGAGTGGTGGCGAACGCCTGTGATCCCAGCTACCAGCAAGGCTGAAGGAAGCAGGAGGATCGCAAGTTGGAGGCCAGGCTCAACAACTTAGTGAGGCCCTGTCTCAAAATACACTGGGATGTGACTTAAAAAGGACTGTGATATGGCTTAGCAGTAAATGCCCCTGGGACTCAATCCATAGTACTAAGGAAAAAAATAAAAAAAGATATAATTTATTCTGACCAGATCAGGGTCCCAGAGTCTCAGATCAGTGTGAAGGACTGTGAGCCATACCCTCCTTTTGCCCCACACTCAAGATCATTTCAGAGGGACTGGGGCTGCAGCTCAGTGGTGGAGCTTTTTTTTTTTTTTTTWAAGAGAGAGAGAGAGAATTTTCTAATATTCATTTTTCAGCTCTCAGTGGACACAACATCTTTATTTTATTTGTATGTGGTGCTGAGGATCGAACCCAGCGCTGCACACATGCCAGGCAAGCGCCCTACCGCTTGAGCCACATCCCCAGCCCAGTGGTGGAGCTTTGGCCTAGCATGTGTAAGGCACTGGGTTCAATCTGGCACCTCATTAAAAAATAAAATAAAATGAAAGTATTATGTCCATCTACTATTAAAACAATTTTAAAAATTAAAAAATAAATAAAAGTACTGTGCCCATCTACAACCAAAAACTAAAAAAAAAAAAAAAAAAAAAACTCAGGGCTGGGGCTGGGGCTGGGTCATAGAGTGCTCGCCGAGCACATACAGGGTGCTGGGTTCAATCCTCAGCACCATATAAAAATAGAGATATTGTGTCCAACTATAACTATAAAATAACATTTTTAAAAAGAAATTTCAGAGAGAAAATCAAGACAAATTCTCTACAGGCAAATGAAAGCTCATAAGAGCCTGCTGTACAAATGTGACCAGCAGCAGAACTGCTTCTCCATCCTGTTAAATAACAGTGATTGGTGGGGATATGGCTCAGGGTAAAGCGTTTGCCCAGCAGGTACCAGGCCTTGGGTCCCATTCTCAGCACTGCCAAAGACAAGACAAAACTCTGTGTCTTTAGAAAGAGGTGGTGAAGGGCTGGGGCTGGGGCTGGGGCTCAGTGGTGGAGAACTTGCCTAGCAAGTGTGTGAGGCACTGGGTTCCTTACCTCATATAAATAAATGAATAAAATAAAGGTCCATCAACAACTAAAATATATATTAAAAAAAAAAAAAAAAGGCAGACGAAAGAGGAGGTGAAGGTGACAGGTTCACAACACCACCTTGAACCTCGGCTCCGGCCTGGAAATACCCGGGCTCCAAACCCCATCATCAATGAGCTTTATTCGTGCTTTATTGAGTACAGCCTGCCCCTGTCTTGTGCCCCGTCCCCCGCCGGGCCTCTACTTGCTTCGGTCCCTCTTCTCCCTCCCCCTGGGCCTGTCCTCCCTGGGGTCCCGCTCCCAGTCGTTCTCAGGCCACGCCCTGGCTGGCTCTCTCTCGGGCCACCTTTTCTCCCGGCCCCTGTCGTGGTCCCGGTCCCTGGCCCTGGACTCCCAGTGTCGCTCCCGGGACCGGGACCGCTCCCTCCGGTCCCGCTTGCCCTCTCGGTAGAGGTCGCCCTTGACCACMGGCAGGTTGATGGGCTTCCGGAAGGGCCGGTCGCGCCCCCCGAAGCGCAGCTGCCCCGACTCCTTCTTGCCGCCCAGGCCGCCGCCCAGCCGCCGCGGCACCCAGCCCCGCAGCGTGCGCTCCAGCTCGTAGTCCACGAAGAGCTCGCGCTGGTCCACCAGCAGCCCGTCGGCGTCGCGGTAGGCCTTGAGCAGGGCGCGCTCCTCCCGGAACTCGATGAAGGCGTAGCCCTTGGAGAAGCCGGTCACCAGGTCCCTCACCAGCCGCAGCCGCCGGATGTCGCCGTAGCGCGAGAACACCTCCCTCAGCTTGTCCTCCTTGGTCTGCAGGTTCAGCCGGGCCACAAACAGGGTGAGCAGCGGGTCCCCCGTGACGCCCTTGTTGGGGACGTACCGGGCCAGCATGGCCCTCCACACAGCGCGGTCGTGCGGGTCCTCGTCCGTGCCGTCGATGCTGCCCGCCTTGAGCGGGTCATACTCCTTGGCGATGGGCATCCAGTCGTTCATGATCTGGGGGAGACAGGCGGTGAGGGCCATGCAGCCCGGGCAGCGAGAGCCGCCAGTCCCCCACCCAGTCAGAGCCCAGGGCGTGAGCCTGGTTCCCCCACAGCAGGGCACTGACGCTGCTCCCAGGGTCCCAGACCCTCCCTGCCAGGGACTGGGTGAGAGGGCAGGCAAGATGGCCCACGCCTGAAATCCCAGCGCCCAGGAGGCTGAGGCAGGAGGATCGAGCTCAAGGCCACCCTGCGAAACTCAGTGGTAAAGTAACCCTGGGACTTGCATTTATTTATTTATTTATTTTTTATTAAAATAAATCAATTTACAAGGTGGCCACAGGAGGCTGAGAGGGCAGCTCAGGAGTAGCCCACATGGCAGGCTCCTCTGCTCCCCAGGAACCTGGAATCTCCTCTTGACTCTATTATCCCAGGAGCCCCGGAACTGACTACAGGGAACTTTCACTGGTGGGCACACCCCAGTCGTCAGTCACTCTGATGGGTGACAACTGACTCGCGGGATGCCTGCTGTAATCCTAAGGTCAGACCCGGCTAACACTCACATAACCCCCTCCTCCAAAACCAGGACTCTGTGGCCTGTCCATGGTCATTCATCCTGATGGCATCTTCCCATAATATTAAAATGATGTCTATAAAGTTTCTCCTCTTACTCAAGTTTTCCTCAAGAATCTTTTTGCTTTGCTTATTCAGTTGACAGGGTGAGTAGGGGCAGTGACCAGTTGCTAATGGGGTACACTGTGGAACTGCTCCCCCAGTAAAAAGCTGAACACCCACAGAATAAACTCAAAGCCAAGGGCACTGCACTTGAGGCCTCTGGCCTGGCTCACACTCTCACCAAACCCCATTACAAAGCCTCTGCACACCTAGAAGGCTTGCTCCTGGATGCACCCTAGTCCTCAGCTCCTCTCTGCCCTGCGCAGCTGCCCTGCAGGGAATATTTCCTTCCTTTCTGCCTCCCACACATCCACTTTTAGAAATCCCACTGATCCTTCCAAGTCCAGCTTCAAACTCCCCCCACAGAGCAAATGTGCCTCCCCCGGCTCCCGGGACCCCTCCTGGACTGACTGTTCTGCCCCATGCACAGTGAACACCCTTGAGTTTATTATCTCCAGGTCCTAGGACACTTCCTGTTGAACACTGGAGAACTGAACTAACCGCCTTCCAAGTTAAACAAAAGGGCCCATCACTGAGAATGGAGAGGGAGCACACTGTGCCACACAYCACCAGGCAGTGGAAGGAGGAGGGTCCCGCCTGTCATCAACAAGCAAGTAGAAGACAAGCAAGTGGAAGCCAGGCACTGTGGCCACGCTGCCAATCCCACCACTGGGTAGGGTGGGGCAGAAGGATCGAAAGTTCAAGACCACCCTCAACAATTCATGGAGGCAGTATGTCAAAATACAAGGAACTGGGGATGTAAGCTCAGTGGTTAAGTGCCACTGGGTTCCCAGCTCTGAAAAAAATTTAAAAAGTCAAGCAACTTTGGAGAAGATGCTTCTCTGGTATCTTAAGCAGTAAAGGATGATAGACCATGAGGGCATCAGAAGGCACAGAGGACAGGAGTGAGACATTTGCAGTCCTGTTCTGGCTCTGGCTCACTGTCTTTTCTCTCATGGATAGAATTTCTCCACGTGAAAACAGAAGAGATGGAGCTATGGTATTTTGGTCCCGATATTCTGGTATTTGGTCTACAGAGACCCCTTATCTACTGGGCCTGATATTCCTGGAGTTTAGTCTTATTCCCCATTCCATCACAGGGTTGCAGGAAAAAACTATGATGATTACAGATTAGTCCAACACTTAACAGGTGCCAAGCACTGTGCTAAACCCTCCTCTCAGCTCTCAGCAACAGCATGTAGGTAGGCACCGCTGTCACCATCCTGTCAGATGAAAAGAGCTGTACACAACCAGGCACCCTGGCACACACCTGTGATCCCAGCAGCTGGGGAGGCTGAGGCAGGAGGATCACAAATTCAAAGCCAGCCTCAGCAACTTAGTGAGCCATGTCTCTAAATAAAATATAAAATAGGAGTGGGGACATGACTCAGTGGTTAAGCAGCGCCCCTGGGTTCAATCCCTAGTACTAAAAAAAAAAAAAAAAAAAAAAGATTAAAGACTCTTACCCCAAGTCATAAAGCTAAGTGGTGGCCCAGTGAGGGGATCTGAACCAGGAGCTTTGAACCAGGAGCTGTGTTGAACCCCAGAGCTTGAGCTCTTGACCATTTGCTCAGGGGGCTTTCATGAAAGATAAGGCTTTGGAGATTGGAATGAAGAAAATCCATCAGGATTCTGGGTTTTGGAGACTGAGATCCATGATCCGCCTCCAACCCCAGGAGGAAAAGAACCCCTCCTCATGCAATATAAAAAAACCATGTCCATGGGCTGGGATTCTTATAGCTCAGTTGGTAAAGTGCTTGCCTTGCATGCACAAGGCCCTGGGTTCAATCCCCAACACTACACACACAAAAAAAAGTCACAAGGATCCACCAACTAAACTTACATTATTGGGGTTGGGGATATAGCTCGGTGGTATAGCGCTAGTCTAGCACGTGTGGGGCCCTGGGTTTGATCCTCACCTCAGCACCATATAAAAATAAATAAAATAAAGGTACTGTGGCCAACTATTCCTAAAAAATATATTTWWAAAAAACTTACATTATCGTACATAGTGACAGCTCCTGTTCCAAGCTTTAAAATTACTTAAAATTAAAATCTAAAGAATGATAAAGAATTAAGCACAAGATTTGTTCTGTCTCATCTGCATGTTTTTATCAATACAACAGCAGCCTGCACTTTCATAATAAGATATTTCTAATTGTATCTGCAGCATCGCAGCATTATATTGAGATCTCCTGCAACAATCTCCCTGGTCAAGGGAGAGATTTGAGAGAGGAATGATGGGGTGGAAGTGGATGGGGCAATTAACCGTCAAAGGCAAAAATATGGGAAAACGACAAAGAGCACTAGGTTGGAAGTCAGACTCTCAAGGCTGAAGACCCAGTTCTACCATGTGGTGCCAAAACTTAAAATTTATTTAAAAATTTGAGAATCGGAATTATTATCTATAAAACGCGTCTACACGCCACGTCACTGGGTTTTTGCGGACTGGATGGTATCAAAGAAAGTGCTTGTTTATAAGTTATCATAACACAAATAAAAGTTTTGTTCTATACAAGTCTCTCCTTCCAGGGTCTTGGGATGAGCCAAAGCCCCGCTCCCGCCGACAGCTCCCGGCATGCGCAAAGGCGCTGGGGAAGCACGGGCGGAAGTCGGAGTGGGACGGCCTGCGCCACACTGCCAGCGTCCCCATTCCCTCAGCCACCACCTCAGCCTGGCTGGGTCCTCCGACCCCTCACCTCCTGGATGGGCGCAAGGAGGAAAGGGCCACCTTTCCGTTCCAGTTCTCGCCCCTCTGGCCCGCAACGCAGTTTCTGAACTGTCCCCCTTTGCCAGGTTTCAACATGGCGCCGCGCACCTCGGCGGCCACAGCATCCCCACAGAGTCCCTCTTCCTTCCCTCGGGCKCGGGCCCGTCCCTTCAGATGCTCCCACTCACCTCGGCACAGCTCCGGCTCGCGGAGACCTTCCCAGACACCGAGATAGATAGGCCCCGACTCCGGGCAAGGGAAGCTTCCTGATGCCGGCCTCGACCAGACGTCTACGTTGCCATCCGCAGATTCGTCAGATGCTGTTTTCCTTTTGCCGTTTTAAGACGTCCCGTCACCTGCATTGGACCTCAGGGGCRGGTATCTTCCGAAGACATTGCGCTTTCATTTGTTTCTTTTTTCTTTTCTTTTTTTTTTACACGAAAACAAAAAATGCTAAATTGACCAGTTGCTATAGCACCGAATGTGCAGTTAGTTTTTTCTGGGAACGGCTTAGGCTCACATGTGGTTATGATGATTTTTAATGAGCCCCGTTGGCATGAAATTTTATACACGGTCCCAGAGGTTTCATAATCCCTATGTTACCAAAAGCTCGGTCCTTGTCCCCATGCCAATCCAATAAGGAGGATACGGTTTTGAGAAACAGGAAAAAGAAGGTTTATTGCTTTGCTAGCAAAGAAGAAACCCCAGGACTCCTGTCCCAAAGGCTGGGATTCTCCCATCAGCAAGAACAGGGGTCTTTTAAAGAGGTGACTCAGAGAAAATGAGATTAGGGAGGAGAAGGTTAAGGAAAAGAAGATCAGGGAGGAGGTCAGGGAGAAGATTGTTGGGATAAAGAAAAAACATGTAAGTTTCAAAGCATCTAGTGAACCCCTGTTACACTTGGACTTAATAAGTTCACTTTCCACACAAGTAGAACAGTATTTTTTTTTCTTTTTCCTTAAACCAGGAAGGGCTCCACCACTGAGTTACATCCCCAAATCTTTCTACTTTTATTTTTATCAATTATTTACTTACTTATTTTTGGTACTGGGGACAGACCCCAGGAACTCTTTACCATTAAGATACCGCCCTAGCCTTTTTAATTTTTTATTTTGAGTCAGGATCTGGCTGAGTTGGTAAGGCTAGTCTCCAACTTGTGATTCTCCTGCCTCAACCTTCCCACCTCTTTTGAGATTACAAGCATGCCACAGTGCCAGGCTCCCTGATGATTTTTGTAAGAGCACAGAAAACCCCTGCAGTCAGAAGCCCAGTTTAATAAATATGTACAATTGAAAGACCCTAACCCAGTTACCTAAGGCCAAGATATGAAATCAAGATACCAGGCATGTCATAAACAGGCTCAGGCGCCAGACGTGCTTTGCACATAAAGAACAGAGCACCCACATCCTGGGGCATGCATGAATAAACAGGAACAGATAAGCAACGGAATATAAACCCACAGGGAACATAAAGTGAAAAACAACCTTACCCSCTAGGTGACCTATATGTTAGATTTAAAGAAACCAATGAGAAACCCGTTGCTTCCCGCGTGCGGGCGAAACCTGTCCTAAACCCTATAAAAATCTCTGTATCCCCAAGCCCGGTGTGCCAGTTCACCAAAGCTCCGGCTAAGGTTCTGCTGGGCACCTGCAGGTGCCTGTGTCTCAATAAACCACCTCTTGCTTTTGCAGCCAGTGTTTCGTGTGATTCTCCTTGGACAGGGAAACAGAGGGTCTTTCATTTTGGAGGTCCCACCAAGATTCCCTTCCCCCCAGTCCAGATCCCTGCCCGAGGACCACCTGGCGTCACTGGGAGGTAAGCTGGCCAGCTCATGTCGTGTTTGTCTCATGTCGTGTTTGTCGTGTCGTCTGGTGTCACTCCTATGTTTGTAACCCTTGACTGATACTCTGTCTCCATTGTTCTGTCTGTGCGCTGCATCCGTACGATTATGCGTAGTCGCTCTGTATTTTGGGCAGCTTGAGAAGGAGTTGACGAACTCAGACTTCTCCCCTGCCACCCTGGGAGACGTCCCAGGGATCACAGGGGTCCATTTTTTCCGGAGCCCCCAGTGTTTCCGAGGGATACACTGTCCTCSTGAGCAAAGGAGATACATCTACTTCTCCTAAGCCCTCAGATACTTTCGGTTTGTGCCGAAACCGCGCAGCGCTCTTTCTGTCTGGTCTGATTTTTGTGTCTGCCTTTTTACTTTTTCTCTTCCATCTAGAATTAACATGGGGCAATCAATCACAACCCCTTTGAGTCTCACCCTCGACCATTGGCAAGACGTCCGAAATCGGGCAAATAACCTCTCGGTAGAGGTCAAAAAGAAGAAATGGATAACACTCTGCACCGCGGAATGGCCAACACTCAATGTGGGCTGGCGTAAAGAAGGAACATTTAACCCTGATCTTATATTACAGGTGAAATCCCAGGTTTTCATCCAAGGTTCTCAGGGACACCCTGATCAGGTACCCTACATCGTTACCTGGGAGAATTTGGCCTCTGACCCACCCCTTTGGGTCGCCCCTTTCTCTCCGCCTAAGCCTGCCCTGCGAACTCCTTCCGAAGCCCCACCTCCACCTTCCGCTCCACTTATCCCAATACCCGCACCCCCACCCTATCAGCCCCAACCCGTACCGGCTCCTGATTCCATCCAGGTTTCCTCRGAGGAAGAGGAAGAACAAGTAGATCCAGTCACCAATAACCCTCCGGGTCCATCCCCCATGGTCGGGAGACTTCGTGRCCGCCGGGAGCCTACCGCCTCGGGAGATACATCTAGAGTTCCCCCCTTGCGGCACACGGGAGGCCCCAATGGCCAATATCAGTATTGGCCTTTCTCTGCCTCTGATCTCTATAACTGGAAAACACATAACCCATCCTTTTCCAGTGACCCTGTAGCTCTAACCTCTCTGATAGAATCTATTCTAGTGACTCACCAGCCAACATGGGATGATTGCCAGCAGCTTCTACAGACCCTTCTCACTTCTGAGGAGAAACAGAAAGTTCTCCTGGAAGCCYGTAAAAAGGTGCCAGGGGATGACGGGCGCCCCACTCAACTCCCAAATTTGATCAATGAAGCTTTCCCCTTGACTCAGCCAGACTGGGACTATAACACTGATGCAGGTAGGAACCACCTACGTCTCTATCGCCAGTTACTCATAGCGGGTCTCCATGGAGCAGGGCGACGGCCCACCAATTTGGCTCAGGTAAGACAGACTACACAGGGACCAGAGGAAACTCCGACTGCATTTTTAGAGAGACTAAAGGAAGCCTATCGGAGGTACACACCTTTTGACCCCGACAGTGAGGATCAGAGGGGAAACATTTCTATGGCCTTTATTTGGCAGTCCGCTCCAGATATTAGGACTAAGTTACAAAGATTAGACAACTTACAAGATTTTTCTCTAGCAGATTTATTGAGAGAAGCAGAAAAGATTTTTAACAAAAGAGAGACTCCAGAGGAAAAGGAGGAAAGAATCAGGAAAATGCAGGAGGAAAGAGATCTCAAATTTAAGGAAGAATTAGACAAGAGAGATCGGAAGCGTAATAAAGAATTAAGTAAAATATGGGCCACTGTAGCTCAGGCAGGGCAACGAGGAGGTAAGACAGGCAAGGAGAGGGAACGAGGCAGACCCCGTGTAGACCGAGACCAATGTGCCTACTGCAAGGAAAGAGGACATTGGGTAAAGGACTGCCCAAAGAAACCCCCCAACCCCAGAAGAGGTACAAACCGGACCCCTCAATTGCTAGCCTTGGATGAAGATTAGGGGAGTCAGGGCCAGGAGCTCCCCCCTGAGCCCCGGGTAACTCTGCAAGTAGGAGGGCAACCTGTGACCTTCCTAGTGGATACGGGAGCCCAACACTCGGTGCTAACACGGGTGCCACCGGAAGCAAACCGTACCGATGGACCACCAAAAGAGAAGTACACCTTGCCACAGATAAAGTTTCCCATTCGTTTCTGCATGTGCCTGATTGTCCGTATCCACTACTAGGAAGAGACTTATTGATCAAATTGAGAGCCCAAATTTATTTTAAGGATGGGAGTGCCTCCGTCACAGGGCCAAACCAGGCCCCCTTACATGTACTGACTTTCAAATTAGAAGACGAATATAAACTTTTTGACAAACCTTCTGTACCTATGAAGGACATGGACTATTGGCTTGRTTCCTACCCGGAGGCCTGGGCTGAAACTGGAGGAATGGGAATGGCTAAACAACAACCTCCGATAGTCATTCACCTAAAAACCACTGCTACTCTCATAAATATTAAACAATATCCTATGTCAAGGGAAGCTCACCAGGGCATCAGACCACATATCAAATGCCTCCTAGACCAAGGCATCCTAACTCCTTGCCGGTC